GAGGACAGAGCGGGTGGAGCTGCTGTGTTTGAGAGCAGGAAGAAGAGACAGAGCTTTGACACTAAACTCTTTGACCCTTTGAGAGTTTTCATCTTTAAACCTGAAACAGCTGGAGCAGTTTTCTCACCACACGTTTCTGGGTCCAGCTGATCATTAAGTGCCATTTCACCTCTCAGTAACAGACACTGAGTTTCACTTCCTCAGATCAAAAACCAGTCCTTGACGTCATAAATTTTCAGTTGGTAGTAGATCAGACTCAGGATTCAAGCTGATTCAAAAAGCTCAAAAGAATAAACTTCTTTATCATAAAAGGAAAACTAACCTACTGAAGAGATCTTCAGATCTGCAGTTTATAGATGACTCTTACTAACGTGTGTCATGATCCGTGTGTTTTGATTTCTTAGTCCTTTAAGTTCAGTTTTTAAGTTTTATTCTCATCAGCTCTCATTCAGTTTGTGTGTTTCAGATGATTATTCTTTTGTGTTCCCTGTACCATCTCTCACTCATCCTCAGTGTTTTTCTAAGCCAGCCTGCCACTCTCACCTGTTCCCAATCAGCAATCCGTTCAGGTGTCTGTCTCCAATACCTGATCAGCCAAACCTTTTATATTCAGTCTTCTGCCATCTCCACCTCAGTTGAGCATTTTTGGTCTTTCTGTCAATGTTCCTCCTGAGTCGCTCTGTTCTGCTGCCCTTTCAGTGGTTCTGGTTTTACCTCCGGTTCTAGCCTTTAAAGGGAAGCATCCTACCTGAAGCACAGCAGGTGACTGCTTTGAATGCAGAGGAGCAGGGTCTCTACCAGTGGCGGCTGGTCAATAGGGGGTGCTAGAGCGCCGCCCCACCACTCAAACCACACATATTACTTTGAAGACAGAAAAAGTTTAAATAAAAATGAAATAATAAAATTTAAATATTACGAAATATATGGATATATTTTTAGTTGTGTAAGATAAATATTTTATAGTTAATGATGAGTAAAGTTTAGTTGGGTTTTTTTTTCTTCAAAAATGTTGTATTTGATTGGTGACATATTTCCACTCTGGGGCTCTAGAATCTTTGCCCATAGACACTCGGTAAAAGTTGTGCATGCGCAGTTAGCTCCTCTTCATTACAAGAGATAGGAAAATTCTGGGCGCACAACTCCTGCGCCCTGAATACAGTTGCATGGTACGGATCGTGCTTCCGGTCCCGGAACATTTTTTTGTTTGTTTGTTTGCTTCCAGATCAGATCGAGAAGTGACACTCTCACAACCAGGCTATGTTGCAGGTAGGCCTTAAGCCATTGAAAGCCCTTTATCTAATGCCTATGTTACCATTCCTAACTGATATAAGGTTGTTTTCACACCTGATAGTCCGGTAGACTCGGTTCAGTTCCGGACCAATATTCATAACCTTTTGTTTACATTTGAGCTGGTGTGTTTGCATTCACGCTGCACTGTGCAGTCGAGCCAACCTGTTGAACCAACCTGTTCCCCCGCTCGCCTGTGGGGGCGCTGCACCAAGAACTACTGAAAGAAACAACACAAAAACCTCTGAAGACACGTCTTCTTCTTCTTCTTCTGTAAATAAAAATAAAAACGAAGTGGCATCAAGTTTTAGCAGTTTTAGGAGTTATATTTTGTCATTTTTCAAAAATGGACTTAGCATGAGCAGAAGATGAGACAGAAGACCATGGAGAATGTTGTTTTTCACACAAGGCAGCTGACGGCTCCATATAAAGTCAGAGAAATGCGCGTTTGTTTGTCCTGCGGAGCGGGGCTCAGTCTGTTTGCATTCACACTGTACTCGAACCGCGCTGGAGTTCTCTTCTACCGGACCGAGACCTAGGTTTTAGCCCTGGCCAGAGTTCGCCTTTTTGTTCTGTGACAGAGTTCTATGACGCGTTCACACCTCCCTAAACGAACCGGACTTTCTAGGAAAACGAGCTAGAGTTCGATTAAAGCGGACTAAACAGGGCTGGTGTGAATGCACCCTATCTCTCAACTTTTAGATGTCTCTGTTTGTGTAAAAACCTTCAGCTGATTTTGTATTCTAAAAGTGGGAACTGGTGAGTTTGTTTGTTTGTTTTTGGAGCTAGCATGCTAGCACTAGCCTCCAGGTTATTGTATTGGGCTCTGTGCAAAATCAGTGCTATATTGCTACATTTATTTGAATGTGCTTATAGAAAAAATATTGTCAAACATTAATACTTTTCTATACTAAATGTCACTGATGGTGACATTTAGTATAAAATTTAGTACAGACATTTAGTTTCATTTAGCAAAAAGTAGTTTATTTAAGTATACTACAAGTATACTTATTTTACACTAAAAAGGAGGAAGTGTACTTGAAGTTTACTTTTTATAAACTTTATTTGATATACTTAAAAATAATATAAAAATGTCCCAATTTAGTCCAAACAAGTATTAAATCAGTATACTTCTAGTACACTACAAATATGGTGTGTAGTATACTTGATATACTTATATTAAACTTAAAGTATACTTGCAAAAATAAACTTCAAATGTGCTACTTTTTGTTAAGGGTTAGTTTGGTGATGATGCCATCATCTGCTGGGGTAGCAGCATCAGAGCAAGTGACTTAAAAAAGATCAACAAGCTCATAAAGAAGGCTGGTTCAGTTCTGGTGACTCATCTAGAACCTTTGGAGATGATTGTTCAAAGAAGGATTCTTCATAAAATGAAGAACATTCTCCTTTTAAAAAGAAGAGTGACTTTTTAAAGGCAGACAGAGAAAATGGACTGATTTTTTTTTAAACATGACAAAGAGTTAGGACCACCCCCTCTTTTGAGGTGTGGACCAAAGTCAATCTGTAACACACAGACAGTTAAGTTTCACTTCTACACTTCTTCACTTATGCTTCTACACAACTACTTCCATCACATCTTCTTCAAGCATTGAACTTGGAGCAAACTTCAGAGAAGAAACTTCCTCCTAGTGAGATGTCCTGGGAAGGAAGAGAACCAGAAGCAGAACCTGGCATTAACCTGAGATTTGTTACCAGAGCCATCGAACCGCAGAGTGGGGAAATCCCAGTTGACTCCCATATGGACCCTCGTCCCTCCAAGATGACAGGTGAACTGTGAGGGAGACTCAGCCTCTCAGTCACCAGAACATCTGGACTGGTACCATTTTTAAGCAGCTGTTGGACCATTCTGACCATCTCATTCTGGTAGGACAAGAGACCTTTAATGCCTTTCTGGTGATCATACATCACAATAATATTGCTTGATATACACCCCAGTTAATTTAGACGCAATTTCAACTACTCCACAAACAGAACCAGTCCAAAAATCTGCCTTTTTAAAAGTTTCACAGATTTAAATAATCAAGTAGACCTTCGATACAAAGCTATTTCGTTATTCATTTGTTTGTTATGAATAATCTTTATCAGATATATCACAGATCATTATTTTTGTAATAAAATACAAAGTGCATAAAATCAACTAAATTTGTGATTATTTTGGCATATCTGTGTGTATTACTGATTTGATGCCCTTTAAACAAGATAAAAGAACTCCCAGAGCACAAAACTTGAGTATGATTAATAATTTTCTTGCTTAAGAACCGGAAAGCAAGTGGTGCCCCTTCAGAATAAAATTACTAATAAAAACTCAACGATCTGAGGACCAGTTTCCTGTACAATAGACAACCCTCAGCATCCTCTTCATCAGACTGTCATACAACAACAGAGTGTCTTCAGTCAGAGGCTTCTTCAGATCCGTTGTAAGACAGACCGCTACAAGAGATCCTTCCTGCCCACAGCATCAGCATCTAACTCTTTAATGTATCCAGGATGATGAGTTACATCTTTGAGTTAACCTTGAAATGAACATGCATGTTTCCTAAAGGAGGTGCTGTTGCCCGTGTGTTCCTTCCTGCGCTGGAAATCGTTCTAGGGTGAACCAAAGACTCCCCTTCCTGGATCTGATCAACTCAGAAGGTTTATGGGTTCATAGAAAGGTCTTTCAGGTGAATGAGTTCATTTTGGCAGGTTAAAAGATAGTACACAATATTTTTATGACATTGTCCATGGGGAGTTGTGGAAAGCTAAGCAAAGAAATAAAGTTTTAGGGAATGAGACTCAGTCTTGTTTTAAAGTATCAGAAAAATAAAAGTATTTTGATGGTAAACCCTGATGGTCACTACCGTATTTTTTGGACTTTAAGATGCACTTAAAATATTTGGTAACACTTTACAATAAGGTACAGAAAATTTGCTTAACTTCTATGGAACGCTTCAGGAACGAATCACGAGCTAATGGGTAGTTAACCAGTACTTACTGGTGAACACACTGCCAGGCCTTATTAGGGGACTACTGGTTTGTTACTTTGTATATTAAA